TAGCACAATGTTGAGCAACAATATTAATCTGAGCTTTGTTAGTTTTGGTTTTCTGAATATGCTCTTTTTCTAGCCACCCAGCTTGCCAAACACGACAAACCCTCTGTAATTGAAGCAATAATTCCTTTATTAGGAGTGCCAGCAGCCCTGGCAAAAAGTTTCTCTTTCAGGCGGGGAGATGAATAGGCTGTCACACCCATTCATCTCGGCCCCCTGTCTTTTATCCCCAGAGCTAAGGTGGGGCTTTGCTAGCAGCAATGGCTCCTCCTTCACAAGGATTGGCCCACAGGTTTCCACTGCTCTCCTCTCCTCTGCCTTCTGTGCATCAGGCACTGGGCACAACTATTCCTTCTCTTCCTCATCAGCCACCTCCAGACCTGGGGGCTGTTGACTCTCCATCTGAGGGCTGACGGACGGCCCAGGCTCCACCACTGTCTGTCTGTCTGTCTGTCTGTCTCTCTCTCTCTCTCTCTCTGCCAGCTCCATTCCCTCTTCCCCCTCAGAGCTCTCAGGTTGCCTTGATGCTGACCCTGACTCCCACGCCTCCTCCTCTTCCTCTGATTCGGTTGCTGGAGAGGCTGGCGGCTGACAGGCCACAACAACTGAGTAAAGCACATGGTGATCATATGGCAGAGGACACTATTATCCTCTCTTCTTTCTGGATCTGCTGGGAGCCTAACCTAGTTCATATATCTACCACTGAAGTATGGTTGCTTTTGGCTAACAAATATATCTTCCTAATATTCTCTACTCTAAAATCTTAGTCCTGCCAAGGCAGTTTACCGGAAGAATCTCCTCCAAAGGTAAGTTCTCACTGAACTATGCCTTCTCCAAAAGGCTGATGGTTAGGGAATCTATCAATAAGGGAAGCATACAAGGAAAAGTGCAAGAAATGCATTGGGTTCAAAACATGTTGAAGGGTAGACCTCACACAGGGAAGGGTTGTATCTTGGGAATAGTGAGGTTTGGGAGTGTGGTTTTAGGAGGAAGGAGGCAAAACTGGGAAATTAAAATGCAGGAAGACATTTGGTGTTCCATGTTGGATAAGGATGTTGTTAAATCAGGGATTTGCAACTGATGGTTATATTGGGATCCTGGGTTCAGGGGAAGAGGAATCCTGGGTGGGTGGGTGGGTTTCTCCCTTTCACCTCGTTCTCACCAGATCGCTGATCACTAGCGGAAGAGATTTACGTCCAGCCTTAATGTCGGGCATGCTGTTAATGCAGCGCAGAAACTTTACTGCGGCTCCCCTGAGAGAGAATGCACCCACAACAGCATCAGCAAGCAGAAGATGGAAGAGAAATAAAACAAGCTTTATTAGCGAAGCGAAGCAGAGGCAACTGAATAAGATGCGGCGCACACTGGAGCCAGAGTAATGGAGGATGTGATCTTTCCTTCACTGCCAATCCTGTTTTCAGGTGTTGCTATGAGCTACATTTTAGGGCAGAAAGGGGATCATCACAAAAATTGTGCCAACGATCATTATTTACTTGTTTTCCTCTAGGCCTCTGGATTTTGAAAGAATTAAAAATTGTTCTTCATTATAATTTGAGAACTGGTGCAATGCAGTTGCTAGAGACACATTTCTACGGCAAGATTGTAGAAGAGATCTCGCTGTGGCCAACTCGCCATGGCAACTCGCCGCGGGACAATTCACCGCCGCACAAGAGTTACACTAATATTGAAGAAACAGTGGAATAGAATCATTAAAGAAAGGATACCACAGGAGGGA